CCTGATCTAGCAGCAAAAGAGGATCTGGAAAAAATGAAATCAGAAATAATTTCTCACATAACAGCAGAAATTGTGCCCATAGTGCAAGCCAGGATTAATAAATCTAGAGAGGACACAGATGAAAAAAAAATAGAGGAGCTGAGGAACATGATGGAATCCCAACATAGGAAAAAAATGGAATCCATAAAACAGATGCAAACAGATTACCAAGAGATTGAAAACTCCACTGAAAGTCTATGCAGCAGAATGAGACAAAGTGAAGATAGAATTTCAGATATAGAAGCTAAGACTGTAATTAGTGACCAGGCAAAGAAAATTTTCTTTAAAATTGTAAGGGACCATGAGAAATCAATCCAGCAGCTGGTATACAATGTGGAGAAGAATAACATAAGACTGATTGGAGTCATAGAAGAAACAGAAGAGAGTGCAGATGACATAAAAATCTGTTCACAAAAGTGATGGCAGAAAACTTCTCAAGCAGGGGGAAAGAACTTGACATACAGAGAAGTGATGCATATAGGACTCCAAGCAACCTTGATCAAAAAAAATCTACACATAGGCATATAATTGCTAAGGTCCCAGAAACCCAACAGAAGAACAAAGTTCTCCAAGCAGTCAGAGAAAAGAAACAAATCACATACAAAGGAAAGCCCATCAGAATCACAGCAGACTTCTCAATGCAAGTGCACAAAGCAAGAAGAGCTTGGAGTGATATGTTTCAAGCCCTAAAGGAAAACAACCTCCAACCCAGATTGGTGTAACCTGCAAAACTATCTTTCAAAATTGATGGTGAAATAAGATACTTTCATAACAAAGAGCACCTTAGGAATTTCATGAATACCAAACCAGTACTCCAAAAACTTTTAGACAAAATCCTAGGAAAAGACAATGAGGATCACAACCCCAGGAAACCCAGCAGAATGAATCCACTGGGCACAACAAGAAATTAAAAGCAAAGGGGGAGAATCCAACAAAAAGAAAAAGTCATGACAGTGATAACTCAATATGTATTAGTTATAATCATCAATGTTAACGGTTTTAACTCATCAGTCAAAAGAAATACACTGGCAGAATGGGTCAAGAAGCAAGATCCAACAACATGCTGCATACAAGAAACACAATTAAAAAAGAAACTCATAGACTGAAAGTTAAATGGTGGAAAAAATGCTTCATGCGACAGGAAACTGAAAAAAAGCAGGAGTGGCTCTCCTCTTTGCAGATCAAGTGGATTTCAAACCAACACTGATTAAGAGGGACAAAGAAGGACACTATATCCTTGTAAATGGAACAATCCATGAGTAAGAGATGACAATCATAAATATCTATGCACCAAACACTACTGAACCCAACTACATAAAACAAATACTAATGGGCATGAAAATTCATATATGCAGGGTGCAGTGCAGGCTGTAAAGAGTTGACCCCACAGGTAACTTGTTCTGATAAGCAAGCCCAGCCAAAGTCTATGTGCTGAGGTCAGAGTAACTTGCATGCAAATTCCATTCCCACAACTCCAACCTTCTTACTAGAAGAACAATGTTCTAATTACAACCATATATTTTGTCTATTCTGTTCCTAATTCAAGAATGCTTTTTCTTTTCCTTTATGAGCCTTGTCTCCACTAGTTTCCATAGAAAACTGCACAATTGTGCATTCTTGCACATAGCTTGGCTTTACCTCAGTTGATTACTAATAAAAATGAGTGGCTTGGATGGATCTGTGCCTTTTGCTAAAGTACCATTGGCCACCCTGCTCTCTTAGTTTATCTTTCAGTTTTTCCCCTCAGGCTTGAATTATATACTGATCAGGAGACGAGAAATGACTGCAGAGGTTTCCCATAACGTTTCAGGGGTTACCAGGAATCGGTGTGGAGGCTTGAACCATGCAATCTCTCACTCAGTAAGACCACTAAGAAAAAAAAAGGAAATACAGATGATACAGAACACTTCACATCAAGCTTAAGGACATCTGACAGAAAGCAAAACCCAGAAAAGAGGTAGGTGCTTCAGATGGGAGAAGGTAGTCAGCTGGGACTAAAACACAGGATAATAACTTCATGCCCAAGCTTCGTGGTGCTGGCCTGTAGTGTTGAAAGAAATACTGCAAGACATAGTTAAATATAATCATCGGTTTTCACAAACAAGAACTTTAGATATGGAATTTGGGGAGCATGTCAAAAATAAAATCCAGAAAACTTAACAAAAAAGAAAAAATATTACCCTTGAGACTTTAACTAAGACCTTGATAACTTCTAGCCTTGTCCACTGTTTTGTGTCCCATAAAACTAAGCCTAGGTGCCATTCAAGCATCTGCTCCATGGCAATCAGCCACTGGTGAGAACTATTTAGTTTTGATTTTAGAACAACTGCCTGTCAAATTTGCTCTCTCTCATCACAGACTTGCCTCTCTCAAAATATGTGATGTCATTATGTGCAAACCTCAGTGCTATCCTCACAGAGGAGGGTGAGCTGGCTTCCCCTCTGTTTAAGCTGGTAAGACCACAGGGTATCTGCAGAGGAGGTGGTGGCAAACGCATGAGGTGAACTGCTTGGCTTAGTGCACCAGGAAGTGTGGGGAGGGTGGTGCTGTGGTCAGACTCAGAAAAAAACAAACAAAACTCACACTCAGATTGGAAAGAACTATAATGAGAGAATAAGCAATGGATTGAAAACAGCCAGGATAGCTATGAAGAGCATAAAGAAAAACAGTGAGAAACACTCCCAAGTTTAAGAATCACTAGGCCAGTGCTGTCTTATCAGCTTGATGCTGCCTGCAAATGTGTGGAATCCAAACAGGCCAGAGAAACTGAAACTTCTCTCTACCAGACATAAAGAGATTTTTATAAGAGAAATGAAATTACAAGTATTAGGTAATTAATAAATGTATCTTTGTTCCAATTTGAGTTGATGTTTAATTGGTGTGCTTAAAACATTTCTTATGCATTGCAAATTCTTGAATTGTAGTTACAGGGTTAATTTCTCTTTTCTCTACTTTGTTTGTTAATGAAGAACTCAAGGTTAATGTTCTATTGGTGGCCAGTCAAATTTCAAAATGTAATAATATGAGAATAGAAAAAAAAGCAGGAACACTTTAAGATTTGAACAGCTAAAACCAAGTGTGTTATAGAAGGTTTATAGTGAGATGGAGAAAAAATATTAAGAAAGCTATAAGTAAAAGAGATATATCTTTGATATGAAAGGATTTTATATGATAAAGGTTTTGTCTTGTTAGAAGGGTAGAGATATGAAGACTAGAAAGCTTAAGTACATTGAGAGAAGGTGTGCAGAAATGATTTATCAATGAAATATGTATGTTCGCTCATTGGTTTCAAGTTTGTTATAAAAAATTTATAATAAATGAGACAAAAGAAAAGGCCATTAATCTAGGGCCATTTACAGGTATAAAGGGCTTTCATTCCTTCTGATTATAATTACAAGAGATCTCTGTTAATTGAACTACACAGGTTTGACTAGTCTTATTTACAATTATGAACCTAAAAATTGTAAAAGGAATATCCTAATTCAATTAGGCTAAATATATTTGAGTGCACTCTACTTTTACAACTAAATTGTCTCATTTAGTTGTTTGTTTTTCCACTTATCTGTCCAATCCTACAGTTCTTTCATTTAAGCTCAACATTTTTTTTTCCTTTTTTGCCTTAAAAATGTTTAAAGGGATATTTGCCTATAATTTAAATTGGCTTATAAATGAAGGTTTTTAAAGTTAAAGGCATGCCTTCAGACCTTTGGAAATGGGACTCCTCTTGGTGAATCAAAGAGCACCCATGTGTAAATATTTTCCAGCCTTTGTTCACTAGGGGACATCAACAATTTCCATACCCTTACAACAGACTGATCCTGATAGTTTCCATAACCTTATAAGAGACCTACCTCAATAAATATTGCTTAAACATGTTATTACTATATGCTTACATTGGTTATCAATAAGGGTTAAATTCTAAATATGTTATTGTGATATGTTTATATTGGTCATTTTCAAAAGATTACATTTTTGTGGAAAAAACAACAAAGTTTTATTAAAAGATGCTTTTGGTACAAAAGTAAATTAAAGGGCATAAGGTTTCATAGAATTATAATACTTATTGTTAATTTTCTGGTGCACTAAACGTATTCATGCTTTCTAAGTACAAGCTTTCTAATGTACTGTTTATGGTAATAACCTCCTTTGCCTTTCTCTTATGTTCCAGTTACTTATCATAACAAATACATTTATAGGCTTATATATTTTCTTTAGATGGCATCCTCCCAAACAATTTGGGTAAGTTTTTGTGTTTTTGGAGAAGAAAGAGTACATTTAACAATGGTTATTTTGTACTAAGATAGAATCTGTACCAAAAGTGCTTTCAGAAATAAATCAAAAGTTTACATAATCAACAGTTTACTCTGTTGCTTAGCACTTATTTTGTAAATAAAAACTATGCATTCTTCTGTTGTCTTTTAAAAAGTTGATGGAGATATTTTGAATATCTTATTGATTATACTAGATGGTATCACATTGACATTTAAAACATAAATTATGTATTTGCATTGTTTTCTCTATGCACAATGCTGCATTTTTGTGTTTGGGGGTGGATGCATGTGGGTGATGTTATGTGCATGTCTGTGTATGTGTCTGTCTTTGTGTCTCTCTGGGTATGGTTCATTAGCTAGGGATTTATTGGCTTCTGTGTTTATGACACAGCAGATGGAACCTAGAGCCTCATAGATGCCTGGCAAGTATTTTTACTGAGCTGCATCCAAAGGCCTGGCAGCATGTTTCCCATTACAATTTCTAGTCCTGTCTAGTTATATTTCCTCAACAATGAAAATAGTAATAAATCATGAACCTTGGAGAAAGGATTCTGAAACACTTGGTTGGAGCACCTGTGGAATCCCTTAAGAAAGGTAGCTTGTTGACAGTACATGTCAACCAATGAAAAGACAATGTCTTCCAGGGAGAAACAACATCCTTTCCCAATTTTTCATTAGCTGCTCCTGTACGTGTTGAAAATGGATATCATGGAGAGCATGGGCAAAGGCATACACAGCATTGTATATATTGTCATCCTCTTCAGTAATGGTCATTTCGAATTCATTCACAGGCAGCTAGGCCAGAGAGGCATTAGGTGAACAGTTCGTCACTGCAGTCAGACTCAGAGAGTGAGCATCCAAACTTCTGCACCCAAAGGAGAATGAGAAAACTGTCATCTCGGTATTTGGAAGGATGAGCTATCTGGATAAAACTTTTGAAACCAGAAATCTTTCCTTGGTGGTATGAAAAAATGAAATCCCCATGGAATGAGTCAAATATGAAATCTTTCCCAGTGATGGCAGCATGATTTTCTGGGTTTATGACCCAGACAGTCCATGGTGCTAAATATTGTATGCTGCAAAATCCCATCTTTGATACACTGTCACTCTCAAAGTACATGTTGACCACATTAGGTATTCTTGGTCCCATATACCATAACTTATCTGGGTGTTTATATTCCAAATATAACCGAAAATCAGTTGTGATCATTTCCACAAATGCTAGACAGACTCTGTTCCTGTCCCTGGTGGAGTGGAGAGTGACACCTTGTTAGCCAGCAGAATACTGCTAGATAGCCAGAGAGGACTCTGAAACAGACAGTCCCAGTCCATTTGAGGGAGAGGGAGAACAAAGGGAAGTGAAAGAAAAGGGAGCCAACCACACACTTCCTCCAGCTGCCACTGGGAAAAATTGGGAAGTCAGGTGCTTCTTACCTTTCTCAGTATCCCACTACTCAATTCCAAGTTATAATACATAACAAAACAGCTCGATACGTTAAAACAGACATGTACATCAGTGGATTAGCATAGAGGACAGAGAAATAAATACATGCAGCTAAAGCCCTCTGGTTCTTGACAAAGATTCCAAAAATAGATTTTGGAGAAAAGATAGCCTTTTAAACAAACAATTCTGGGAAAACTTGATATTCATATGTAGAAGATTGAAACTAAATCTCTATCTCTCACCAGATATGAAAATCACCTCAAAAACATTAAAGACCTACTAAGTATGAGACTTGAAACTTTGAAACTGGTAGAGAAAGCACTTCAGGTTCTAAGCTGAGGTAATGACTTCCAGAAAGAACTTTAATGGCACAAAAAATAAGAGCAAGAACCAACAAATGAGAATAGATTAAATTAAAAAGCTTCTGCACATCAAAGGAAACAACAGAGTGAACAGACATCCTACATAATAGGAGAAAATCTTTACTGGCTACTCTTGTGAAAACAATCTCAAGGATATATAAAGAACTCAAGAAATTAACACCAAACATAATAATAATAATAATAATAATAATCCAATTAAAATAGGTAAATTAACTGAACAGACACTTCTCAACAGAAGTCCAAATGGCCAATAATTACATGGAAATTGTTCAATATTTAGCTATCAGGAAAATGAAAATGAAAATTATATGAGATCCATTTCACCCTAGTCAGAATAGCTATCATCAAGAGTTCAAATATCAACAAGTGGTCATGTGGATATGGGAGAAAAATAACTTTACATTTGGATGGAAAGAATGTATGTTAATATAGCTACTATAGAAATCAGTATAGAGGTTCCTGAAAAACTAAAATACAGCTGCTATATGAACCAACTGTAATAATCCTCAGGATATAATCAAAGGAATGAAAGTTATTATACTATAAAGATACCTATATAACCTTACTTGTTGTGGTGCAATTCATAGTAGCCAAGCTTTGGGATTAGCACAGGTTCCAATCAGAAAATGTGATATATATATATATATATATGTATGTATAGATAGATAGATATAGATATATAGAGATATATATAGATATGGAGAGAGAGAGATAAAAGTGAAATAATGTCATTTGCAGGAAAATGGGTGGAACTGGAGACAATCATGTTAAACAAAGTAAGCCAGACTCAAAAAGAAAAGTAATGAAAGTTTTTCTCTCCTAAATGGAACTTTAAAAAAGAAAAAGATGATATGAAACCAGAAAGGAGACTATTAAATAGGAAAGGAATCTGTGGGAAGAGAGAGGAACTAGGGTAAGTAGAGTAATAGGAACCAGAAATGAAGAATAAACCATGCTAATGCATGTACAAATACCCCAAAATGAAGTGCAATCTGCTGCACAATTGATATGTAGTCATAAAATAATTAATTAAAATTGAATTGTTTACATTTTTTACAAAGATTGAAATCACAGTAATGGAAATTTCAAGAAAAACACAGAAAGAATGAGTTTACAATCATAATCTGATCAAAGAATTAAAACTTCAGTTTCCAAGGTTTCAGTTCCTGCAGTCACAGGAGCCACATCAGCTCCGAGGTGATGAGTTCTTTTATAGTTTCATTCCAAAGAGTCTTATCAGCACTCTCTTTACATCTTTATTCCTCAGACTGTAGATGAAGGGGTTCAACATGGGCGTGACCACAGTGTACATCACTGAAGCTATTGCACTTGAGTGTGAGCTATGGGCGGTGGCAGAACTGACGTAAACTCCTAGGCCTGTGCCATAAAATAAAGAGACAACTGCGAGGTGAGATGCACAGGTGGAAAAGGCTTTATTTCTCCCTTGAGCTGATGACATTCCATGTATGGTGGAAACTATTTTAGAGTAAGAATAAAGGATCCCAGTGAGTGAACCAGTAGCCAATAGCACAGGTGCAAAATACATCACAAAGTCATCAAGAAAATTTTCAGAACAGGCAATTTGGACCATTTGATTGAGTTCACAGAAGAAGTGAGGGATTTCTAAGTCAGTACAGAAAGACAGCTGCAAAGCCATGAAGCTTTGGAACAAGGCATGCAGAACACTCATGATCCAGGACCCCAGAATAAGCAAGCCACAGAGCCAGGGGTTCATGATGACCATGTAGTGCAGGGGATGACAGATGGCTACAAATCTGTCATAGGCCATCATGGCCAGGAGGAAATTTTCCAACTCTGCAAAGACCAGGAAAAAATATATCTGGGTAATGCAACCTGTGTAGGTAATGGCTTTGCTCTGTGTCTGAATGTTCACCAGCATCTTGGGCACGGTGGTGGAGGTGAAACAGATGTCTGCAAAGGACAGGTTGGAGAGGAAAAGGTACATGGGTGTGTGCAGGTGGGAGTTGGAGAATATGGCCAGGATGATGAGCAGGTTCCCAAGCAGGGTGATTAGATACATAAAAAGGAAAAGTCCATATATGAGGGGCTGCAGTTCTGAGTCCTCTGAAAATCCCAAAAGAAGAAATTCTGAGATTCTGGTGTTGTTTCCTATTTCCATGAGGTGGATGCAACTACCAGGAAAAAGAAAAATAACATGAGTACTATTCATAAAAATGGACATTACTAATATTATTGAAATGTGGAAATTTATATTTTCCAGTCTATAAATTCATTTGTATGTTTTGTTTATGAATCTGGTCCCCTTAGGGAATCCCTAGTGCCATTACCAATTTGAAATTTTTCCTACTCTGAGCCTTCTCCACAGAAAATTATATCTTTGACAGTTTTCCTGAAACATTATTTCTTACAATTGATAGATCCATATTGAATGGTGACCATGTTCTATGTATTATTTGGACAATGATTAGCAACAGCTGAAAATAAAATTTCATAAATCCTGGTTGCCAACAAGGAATATATGCAAATAAGAACATCATATATCATTACCATTTTGTGGTAAGGGGTGTCATATATATTTGCATATGCACACACTCACAGAGTTCAACATATCAAATGTGTGCGACCCTTTTAATATCATGATGCCTCAATAATTATATCTCTGTTTCAAAACAGAGATGATTATGTAGCATTCTCAAGAGGCCATAAAGAAAATGAAAGATTGAGCCAGCGATTTAGCTCAGTGGTTCTGCAGCCTGCCTCACAAGCACAAGGTCCCAAGTTTGATCCCTGGTAGAAAAAAAAAAAGAAAGAAAAGAAAATGAAAGATTTGAAGGATTGAAGGAGAGAATAGATAGGATAGTGTGTGGTGTGTGTGTATGTGAGTGTGTGTGTGTGTGTTATGCTGTGCATGGAACCCAGGACCATATTCATGCTAAGTAGGCTCTCTGCCACTGACTCCACTCCCAGATCCTGGGGGTGCTATTTGTTCTAGGTGTCCAGGCAAGATCAGCAGAGATAGTGACATTTGAACAGAGACTTCAGGAAGACACAACACAATCCAGGAGGTTCTCTGCAGAAATTTCACTTGGCAGAGGGAATAGCCAGTTGAAAGCCCTGCTGTGGGTGCTTGTTTTAAGATTTTCAAGACTTCCCAGTATGGGAGGTCAATGAGAAAAAGGGATTTTGATGAAAGGTGATGTCAAAGGATGATGTGGTGCTGAAACTGCAAAATAGGAGACCTTCATCCACACTATGTGCTTTCTGTACATTGTGCTGCAAAGGCATCCTGTGAATTGCAATGGAGACCCAATTTAATGCCATTGACAGCTGAGCCCTCCTCTTTCTTATAAGACTCACCTGGGAAAATGTCTGGACAACTCTACTCTGAGGAATCCACACACACTGCCATAACCACCAAGGCCTTCTGACCAGCTCAACACACTGTTAAGGCTACTACAGTGTACCTTGGCCAGACCAGGTTGTCTTTCCCCTAATGTAGCAATGATACTCAGATTTTCCATTTGTAAGCCTTCCATAAACAAATAACCACAGGGCTAAATTTTAGTACACTTTTAAAGCTTCTGCTCTGCATTTAAAGAAATGTATACAGAAAATAATTTCAATAAATGTGGAGTGAGAAATAGGAATGAAATGGACACCTGGGTAAATAAGGTAATAAATCAGGTTGTCACTGCAAGACTGAAATGAAGAAAATGCACACTCGGTTGTGGCACCATCCAAGAAGATTCTATCTCCTAAATTCCCTGCAAAAATAGGAGAGCAAAAATAAATGTAGCCAAAGTCAAAAGCTGTGAAATATCTATGGTTTCAAACACCATGTAGGAAAATGACCCCAGGGGAAAAAAGATCAAAAGGAATAAACTATAATTGACAAAGTGCAACAAAAGTTGAGTGTATTTTGATATGAAAAGAATTCATTTTTCTTATGGCTTTTTCCATACCTATTTTACCACTAAGTTTTGCCATGGTTCATTGGTGATGGAGCAGGCCCTGTTCCCATTTTTCACATGTGGCATCATTTCTTTGTTAGTCTTGGGCTTTGAAATTTAATGTCTTTTTGGGGAAAAGTCCCACAGGTACAACTAACTTTGGTTCTGGTGTAAAATATGCAAAGCATCTACAGCCCATTCACCACGAAACCATGCAGTCTCAAGGGTTATTCAGTTCTTTTCTTCCTGTGATCTGTGACTGAGAGTAATGTGCCACACACATTTATTTCACTCTACTCAGTCTATGTCATTGAAGTACAAGATCCAAATGATCACAGGCCTCACCTGCTTTGTTCATTTCCACAAAGGTAGGTACATATATAGAAATGCAGTTACATAGAAACAAAGTTTTAAAATGAGAATTTATACAATTAAAACAGTTACAGGCTAAACAGAGTTTTTAATATGTATTTTTTAATGATTTGAATCTCAAAAACTAACTCAAAAATGGCCCAGGGATTCATAAGTTCCTGTGTTTGATCCCTGGTAAAAAAAAAAACAAAACAAAAAAACCCCTAAATAAACAACAAAAAACTAACTGAATTAGTATATCAGTAGTAAAGCAATTTCCTAGCCCTGGGTTCAATCCCCAGAGTCACAACAGTAAGAAAAATCTAACTAATCCAAGATATAAAGCATTAACAACTTAAACATATCCAACATGAATTAATAATTAAATCAACAAAGGTCTTGCTTCTTAAAATATAACATATCATGGTTCTATAATATTCTATTATATAATGGATATTTAGTTATCATTTGTTCAATTAATTAGGAATTAAGTCTGAGTATACATGGACATTTAATATATGACAAGTTGCATCTCAACTAAGTAGGAAGAGATTGGATTGTGGGATAAAAGCTGACATAAATGGTTACCTGGAACAAAATAGAATTGGTCCCCAAACAAAATTCAGAAGGGAGGAGATCTCAGTGTAAAAGTACAAAATGCATTACATATGAACACCAAGAAACAATATATAAAATCTAGAGTGAGCAAAACCATGTTAATGAAAGAAACAGGAGTAAGAAGCATAACTAAATAAAATTTCAAGTTTTTTAATGGTCAAAAATATCACCCTCAAAATCAATAGAAAAACAATAATATATAAAGATTACTTCAAATATTGGAAACAGCAGAAAAGGAGCAAATAATAATAACAAGGAAATCAAAATGGCAATAAATATATGAACATTTGCTCAAAGTCAGCAATAGTTTAAGAAAACAAAAAGGAATATTTTTACACACTCCAACCTCAAGGGGGAAAATCCCAAGAAGTAGTATATGATTGGGATTGCAATTTCTAAACGGAAAAGAGGTAGTCTCTAATTTGATGGCAGAAATGTAACTTGCTGCCATGCATTACAGAGACTATTTGAAGACAGCCACAAAATTAAAAGTACAGGTATGGTTTAACTCAAGGTTTCTCAATTTCCACACAATTGACTATCTGTGATTGTCATGTGGTTCTTTGTGGTAAGAACTTTCCTGTCCATTTCATGATGTTCTGCAGCATATCTGACCTCTAAAAACCCCTCTTCTGGATGGCAGTCAAAAATGTCTCTGGATATTCCTCAATGCCAAATGAGAAACAAAATTATTCCTGACCAAGAACTGCAGTTTGAAACGAAAAAGAATAAAGTATTCTTGCAACATTGACATAACAGTTCATGAAGGGGAATAATATGAAACCAACAAAAGTGTAAATAGCACAACCCCACTGTGAAATATTTTAAAGCCTTTGAAATATCTAATCTGCAAATATTTCAATATATATACTAATTTATCTTATTTGCACAAATAGTTTGTCTTATTTCATTGAAAAGAAAGTTTGTGTTATCACCAGTTTCTTTTCTGTAAGAATCATTGCACTAACTACTTTGAAAATAATCATACACAGTGTAATAAGTATTGTTATTTTCTTATTGTTTGATTATAAAAATTTGCTTTATTTTTTCATAAAATAGAAAAGAAAATCTAATCTGCAGTGTGACTGTTGATTTGCCAAAAGTTCACAGGTTTTATAGAGTAAGAAGGGGGTGCATTCCAGTAAAGAACACTCTACTAACATAGAGAGTATTTACAATATGCATAGACTTCTATTTATGCATTCTTATAAAGAGTATATGAGCATGTATGAATACACAACATAGAAAAAATTTAAGCTAACAGCTTACACAAAAGACAATGACCATATTAATTAAATTACTATTAGTACTCTTAGTATCAATGGATTTATATTTAGCCATTAAGAAGAGTGAACTTGAGTCATTTTCAGAAATGATGAATTTTGAGACCACAGTGTAAGATGAAATTAATCAAACACAGAACGTTAAATCTACCATGGTTTCCTTTATGTGAGAAACTCAATCTGGCAATCTAGACCAGGTGATTATTTGTGGTAAGAACTTTCATGTGCATTTTAGGATGTTTTGCAGCATTCTTGACTTTTAATGACACCTTTCCTGTGTGACAAGCAAAAATGTTTCTGGAAATTCCTCAGTGCCAAATGGGGGACAAAATTACTCCTAACAAAGAACTGGAGTTTGAACCTAACAAGAATAAATTATTTTTACAGCATTGATATAAGAAGACTTAAGATATGCAATGCACAAGAAGTTCACAACCACAATAAATGTAAACATTATAAGTCATAAACATGAACTAAGAATAATAACAACAAGAATGAAAATATGGAAAGGGGATTTAGAGACAGAAGGAGAGAGGTGGGTGGGAAGGGGAAAGGAACTATAAAAGAAACATATACTAACAAACAAAATTTTAAGAAATTTAATAGGAAACAAGCTGTGTTACATACATCTACCTATTTCCCAAGAGAAATGTAAAATGTATTAGTTCTGTAAACATCAACTAATAAAATAAAGAGAAATACTTTAAAAACAGTAAATTAAGGAGAAAGAATAGAAAGACATCAAAAGTGTGAATAGCATGCCCTTATTGTGAAATACTATACAGCCTTTGAAATAAATAATCTACACTATGACACTTGATTTAAAGGAAGTTCATTGGTTTTATGAGTAAGGGAAGAGTGTTCTATTAAAGAATACTTCACTGATTTTAGAGACCATTTACAACATGCAATTGTAACCAATTCAATTTATCCATTCACTTAAAAATTATATGAAC